TTTTGAAAAATAGGAAAGAGAACGTGTTTTCACTGTTTTGAAAAATCGAAAACAGAAAACGGCTTGAAAACGACAAAGAGAACAGCCCCTAATTTTCAGCTATAACTTTCTTCTCGTTTTCAGTTTGAATTTTTTTTTACCAATTTCTCTGATTATGGTACAGTGTCCTTTTTGTTTATATATTTTCTTTGTGTGTGAGCGTGTGTGGAACATTACAATTTAACATTTCCAGGGAGTATTTTTAACTATCTAATTAGTATTGTTGTGCTATTTGATAGTTTTGTCTGGTTTTGCTTGTAAACTGTTTGATATAATGCCTGAAATAAAAATCTTGAAACGCTGATGTTTTTGGATCGGTTACAATTTTTTTTGAATAGGTCAAGAGATATGTGGATTATTCCTTTTGGCAGATTTTTTTTTTTTCCTCTTTCCTTGATTTAGTCTAAAAAGTGAACATCATATCTGAAAAATTATGGATTACAACTAATTTCCTGATCCATCTATTTTAATTTTCTCTGTGTCCATGGTTTATATTGTGTCCAAAATTGTTATCTGATTTTTTGGGTTATCTTTTTTTGTTTATGTTTGTGTGTTTCATATTGGAGACAGTGTTGGTGGTCTGACGATAAAGTGGCGGTTGGGTGCGGGTGGTTTTGAAGTAGTTGGCTGCGGGTGGTGGCAGTGTTTTGTGTGGTGATGGCGGCTAAAGTAGTGCTAGTGGTATGTGACCAAGTATTTGGTTATCTGTGATCTAAAAAATTGACAATGTGTGACTAAAAAATAATCTGTGACCAACAAATTAGAAAATATGTGACCAATGAAATTAACTATTTTTTATCCGTGATCTAAAAATTATATAATTTGTGATCGTAAAAAATTTGTGACCAATTAATTTGGAAATCTGTGACCATGTGATCTATAAATTTTGATCTGTGACCAACTAATTTTGAAATCTATGATCAACGAATAAAATGTGACCTATAAAATTTTTGAACTGTGACCATAAAATAATCCGTGACGTATAAAAATTATTATTTGTGACTGAAAAATAATATGTGGCTAATTAAATTATAAATCTATGATCGGAATGATTGCCGGAATAGTCGCCTGAACGGTCGTCGAAATAGTCGCTGGAATCGGAGCAGTCGTCGGAATGGTCGCCGGAGAAGAGTGGTCGCCGGAATGGTCGCTGGTGAAGAGTGGTGGTCGGAATGGTCGTCGGGATAGTTCCCGGAGCGGTAGAGGTGGTGCATGTGGGGTGGATTTATTATATTATATTATATTAGAATTAAAAAAAAAAAAAAAATCTGATTTTTTAATTTTCAAACTATAAACATTATTTTT